CTGAGCAAAGAAAAGCAGCCAAAGTAGCAGGTAAATGGGAGGATGCAAGAAATTGCACACAGATTTCCAAAGAGCAGTGAGGAAAGAACACATAGTTTACTGGATTCAGCAATGCAATCATCTAAAAAAGGCCTCCATAAAGGGTCACACCAGGAATGCATTCAAGCAAATCAAAAGGACTTGAACCCCAATTACTGCTTGCAAAGCAATAATCAAAAACAAGTGGGAGAGAAATGTCTGACTAACAAGGTGTCAAGAACATATGGTGAAAATATATAGAAGAGCTATATGCCAGAAAACCACGAGACACAGCCCCCTCAAGAAAGTGGGGAGTCGGCCATCCCTAAGGAATACGTTTCTTGCGTGATGAGCCAACTGCCAAAAAACAAGGTCACAGGTGTCAACACATATTACCTGTGGAGTTGCTGAGACCTGCCCCACCCATTACCATTACACCGGACTTTCCCAGAAAGTCTGTGAAACCAACACATGGCAACACGATTGGAAACAATCTGTGTTCATCCCATTTCCAGAAAAATAACAACGCCAAGGAATGCTCCAATTTTCTAACAACTGCCCTCATCTCTCATGCTAGTAAGATTCTCCTTCAGACTATACGTCTAGCACCGTCGAATGGGAATTACCAGATGTTCAGGTCGGCTTCCATCGGTATCATGGCACCCATCACCATATTGAAAATCGTGCTCAATCATGGAGAAATGTCATTGATTTCAGAAGAACATTCACATATGCTTCATAGACCACAAAAAAAGCTTTCAACAGCTGTGGAGAGGCCTACAAGAGCTGAGGGTGCCAACACATCAAGTAAAGTTGTTATAGTTGCTGTACACAAACTAAGAAGCTACTGTCCAAACACCATATGAGGACACTGATTAAGACAGAGGGGAGTGTGGCAAGGTTACATTCTTGTCCCGTTCTTGTTCAACCTGTATGCTGAAATGATCATGATGGCTGAAGATTGAAGAATCAGTAACTGAAGTAAGGATTGGAAGAAGTCTGGCCTTTTGATGAACATTACAAAGACCCAGATCATGACCACTGCAAGAAATGGATAGGTCACAATAGTAGATGTGAGGAGAACAAATGTGTGCAGGATTTTACTTTCCAGGGACTGATGATTGGTCGAAGTGACTATAGTCCAGGAATAACCACACTGGGTTGCACAACAATAACGAGCATGAACTGAATATGAAAAAGCAAGTATGTTAGCCTTGCAACCGAATGCAGAATAATCCGTGCTATTGTGTTCCCCATAGCTACATACAAGTGTGAAAGCCAGGACCATGAAAAAAAACCTAGACAGGAGTAGCATTTGAGTTATGGTGCTGCAATAGGCCCCTAGGCATTCCATTAAGGCAGCAAAAATAAACCGGAAAATGCTTGAAAGTAAAAAAACAATTACAATACTCAGGCTCATCTATTTCAGCAAAAGTATGCCAGGACGCCAAAGAACACAATGCTTACACACTATAAAAGCTGACACCAGCCAGAACATGAAATAAATAAAGAAAGCAATACAAAATCGGAAAATGAGGAGAGAACTGGCCCACAGAATGAATGAGTGGGACACGACTGAACTGACAACACACACACATACTTTTCTTTAGATTACACAGTCCACAATAGCTAGAGTGGTCATGAACAAACAAAAAATATCTTCTGGTCACCTGCAGGTATTTGGGATTGTAATAGGCCAAAATATGATGTGGACCAGAAGGGTTTCTGTCCAAAAGCAAAATGTAAACAAAAACAGATAGAAGCATCTATTTTATTTGTTATTGCTGAATTTTCCATTTTACGTGTGCTTCTCCTTTGATTCAGAATCATTCTATAGTAATTGTGTATTCTTTTGGAGCCATCCATTGTTCTAAAACAAAGGGCAACTCAGGGCTTGACAATCTTCCAAGATAATCGAATGGTCTGGATGGGGCTGAGGTTTCAGGTGCATTGTTTGAGCTGGGTCTCCCAGCACAGCACGGTTCTGGGCAACAGACACAAATGAGGGTTAATGACTTTACTGGCTTTGAAACAACAAATTTCCTCTCTCTGCTCTTCATCGAACATTTGCTGTTCCAGTCATCAGCATAGCATGCGTTCCCATGCCAGCATTTCTTAAACTGGAGATTGGTGTCTTCTAAAAAACCATTTGTGCCTAGTTTCCTATTCAACATGATGTTTTCCCTATGCACAATTCCACATATCTGGATTCTGATGGTGATTATTTATTTATTGGCTCTCACAAAGTAAGGGTGAATCCTAGCTCAGAGTATAAGTATCAGTTTAATGCAGCAAGGTGACTGTGCCTTATCCATATGGATCAGAAATAATGGAGAAAAGCCTGTGAAAAAGAGCCACCATATGGTGCCTTATAGAAAACCACATTTCAGTAAATATGGTCCTTCAATATCCTAAGCTTCAAACACTATATTTGTATCTCTGCAACACTGAATAACTGTACTTTATAACCCAATATGTTGGTAATGCTGCAAGGAATATATTAGTATCACCCCCGGCTGCAGCCTCAAAATAATTTCTTGTTCTTACTCACAATCTCTTTTTCTCCCTCCCCTTGATCTTTTTTGTGTGAGGTTTTCCCTGTTCTGTGCTCAGTTTTTGACAATAGATTGACCTGAAAGGACAAGTGTAGTGTAGTTTTAGTGAGAACATATTTTCAGTTGTATTTGCAGTGTTTGTCCTGCAGGTTTGCTTTTATGCCCACTACCCCCCTACCCAGCAACACATTATTACCTTTACTTTGCTCCTTGTCAAATTTACTTCCTGGACTGATGCTGTCTCAGAGATGACACAATCGTGGAAATCTTCATGTTTGTGTAGTCCTTGGCTCAAATGTCTGACACAGAACAGCTACTGGTGCAGCCTCTCAGCTTACGACTTTCTACAAAAGTTAAGCTGCCCATGCACTGTAATCTTTTTTGTTCAACCCGTGGGTTCAACTACATCAACACTTAAGAGCGCTGATGGAGGAATCTCCCACTGTTTGTATTCTGACGGCGACCGCCAATACCCGAACTGGCTGCCGACTCTGTTCGAAGATTTTCAGACCCGCTCCTTCCCGTCAGCTGATTGTTCATCAACAAATGGACAAAATTTGTATAGTTTATGGCCAGCCATACAATGTTGCCGTCTAATCACCGGGGAAAACAGAGGTGACCGGAAATGCTTCCTCCTGCCTACAGTTGATTGACTGGTCTAAGATGTTGTCACCAAAGTAATTTGCATGGAGCTTAATTCATATTTTTTTTATGACAAAATAACTTTAACTGTTGCGGTAAATTGTGAAATGTCAGAAACGTATTCATGCAGACTTGTGAAGTTCCACTTTAAAATTAGCAACCATTCACTTAATACTGGCATCCATTTCCTCTATAGAGAGACACTAATGATTACCAGCGTAAGAAAGAGCCACTCTCTTTTCAGAATCACCTAGCACTGAAGAACTCTTCCTGGTTTTGAGTCTCTGTATCGGAACATAAACTGTACAGCATTACAGCATGCCCTCGCCTCTGAAAAATAACACACACATACACACACACACACACACACACACATATACACACACACACACACACATACATACATACAACACAAACACAACTTGGTTTTATACAGTAGGTCGCGGCAGCATGTATGGTATATATGATGAACTGAAATCCCAAGCAATATACCATACATAGGTAGTCATGCTGTGTTTGCAATATTGAAGGCCCAAGATGGTCCTGTCTGAAAAAGCTTATATCTTACTAATGTGCACATCCATTGTACAAAAGAGCTATGCTGGCAGAGAGAACTATGCAAATGTGCAAGCAAGGCTTTAGAATTAGGAGTACTGTACTAAAGGCTACTTGTAACTGACCACACAAAAATTTACTTTCAAGGAGTTATTGGGGAAGGGAAAAAATTTACATTTTTCTTTGAACACAGAGGGATATATTTATAGAGCAGTGAAAGTGACATTTACCAAACATTTACTGCAGGTGCATCTTCCTGATGCATGTGTTTTAAATGATAGCGGGCGATCTATATATATATGCCCCATTGTGTAATCTGATAAGGTCCTGAGGGTGCACACCTGTTGTGGCCATTATGAGGAGTTTCACTCTTCCCACAAAGTTGGGAAGGAACAACCAAAACTCCCAGGTGGACAAGAACAGAGTCCGAAATTATGGCCGGGAGACCTCGTTATTGTAGCCAACATATATTAGTCGTCCAAAGATGACTCAGCCCACCAAGCTCCACCAATAACAAATATCACTTTTATGTGGACTGACTCTTAAGTCATTGGAAGTCTGAAGAGGTAAAGGGTAGCATCAGTAGACAGGCAGGTGCAGTTTTATAAAAAATTATCTGGAAATTATTTTGACTAATGCTTACTGACTAAAATAAAAATCACACCAGCATATAGCCTAACATGCTGATATGAAATCATCTTATATTCATTAAACATATTTTAATTTTATTTACAATTTCTTTTTTACTACTTCCTGGTCCACTTGGGCATAAATGATGTAATCATGCCCAAGCGCTGCATCCTGACAAAGGTCACATCAGCAGAGCATAGCTGGGAAATCTCATGTGTAATCTCACAAGATCTCAGGAAAAGGCATTTTCCTCCCCTGAGATGATGTGCATGGTCACATGTCCTAGTCACATGTTGCAGAGTCCCAGAAAGTAAAGGGAGATATAATAATCTGACCTTAGTAAAAATGGCCTCTGTGAGAAGAATGGGGGGGAAAGAGAAATAAGGTATGCAAAAAATAAAAAGCCGGCATTTATCTAGAAGTATGTGTTCATAGATTGTCATTACTAAATATTTCTAAAGGTTTCTGAAGATTTGGGTAAACTTCCTCTTTAATGACTAAATGCAGTGAAATTTGTGCTTCTGCAGCTAATTAAACCATTTTAAATCAATACAAAAAAAACCCCATGAAAAAAAACCATGAATCAATATATGTACTTACATGCAATTGCGGGTAGCAAGGTCCCGGTGGATAAAATTTTTTGAACTGAGATATTCCATTCCACTACAGATGTCAATCATGAACCTTATTAATGTCTGTATTGGCAGCGTCTGTACAAAAGAAATTTATACATTTTATCTTTTTCTTTTAATGAACATCTTTTTTGAATTGACCAGAGCTTGAAATCAATATTATAACCACATATCTTTTACCTACTTCCCTTACAATGGCAGAACAGAACAGCAGTTGTCCAGCAGCCAATACCCTCAAAAGGTATATTATATTCTTATCCTCTGCAAAACATGGTGTTATTTAACAGCAGAGTTCATGCAGAGCAGAGCAAAGAAATCTCCAATTACAAATGCTGATTTTTTTCCTGGTTCAGACCTACTCAACAATAACATTGCTGTGGAAAAGAAATGTTCATGCAAAGGTCATTTTTTCCCCCAAATTCTAAAATGTATTTTTTGTTTAATATTTGAGATAGATATCTATCTATCGATATCTATCTATCGATATCTATATCTATCGATATCTATATCTATCGATATCTATATCTATCGATATCTATATCTATCGATATCTATATCTATCGATATCTATATCTATCTATCTATATCTATATCTATCTATCGATATATCTATATCTATCTATCGATATATCTATATATATCTATATAGATATATATCTATATATATCTCAAATATTGATGTCAATAATGTTATTGTGTGTTAAACCATGTTTCTATGTATAATTTGTAATTATATACAGTGGTACCTCGGTTCACAAACTTAATTTGTTCCACGATTCTGGTCGCGAACCGAATCAAATTTCCCCATAAGGTTCAATGTAAATACGGTTAATCCGTTCTGACCCCTACGAACGTGGTCGCGAACAGAGTCAAATTAACGTTTGCACTTTCTTTGGAGCCATGCTGGATTGAATAATACTGTACAGTACTGTATGTGCTAAAAAGCACACAAAAAAGCTTCACAGCACGTGTGCACAGGTCTGTCTGCGACCGCAATCTCGTCTGCAGGAAGCCACGACCACGCGTCAGAGCGGGGAAGATGGCCGCGGTCGTGTTTGTCACCCGATTTGGAGTTCGCGAAACGGAAGCAAAGTTTTGCCGAACTTCCTGTTCGCTAACCGAATTGTTCGTGAACCGAGGTATTACTGTACGTACATGGGTGCAACCATATTTTGACATGACACATGCAGGTCCTGCTTTGTAGTGTGACGCCATGGTTGTGCCGTACTACTCCTTAATACAATGCAAGTCTAGGAGTCAGCTGACTCACTCAAACCAATACACTTCCTATGGAGCTGATATCTTATCTCAGCAGTTGTTAAAGGCTGCACATTGATTGCAAGCCGAGTTTGCCTCTAGTGGTTAATCTACAAATCGTTATATTTAATAAAATCACAAAAAAATAGAAAAGGAAGCATGCTAAATTATGAAAGACACTGCAGTAATAGCTCAAAATATCTTCATTCTGAAAATACATTATGCTTATATTTAAAAACAGTGATGCTTCTTTAGGGACTTTGACTACAGCCTCTCCAATCAGTGCAACAAATGGAAGCTCTAAATCACCGGCAGCATGTGCAACTCGCATTAATGTGCTGCACCCTGATGTGATTATGGCCCCAATGAGCACAATCACTTCATACCGTGTTTCCCCAAAAGTAAGACCTACCCCGAAAAAAAGACCTAGTGCTATCTTCGGGGATTTCTGTAATATAAGACCTACCCCGAAAATAAGAGCTAGTTCGGGGTAGGTCTTATACTACAGACATCCCTGAAGATAGCGCTAGGTCTTACCTTCGGGGTAGCTGCACATGTAACTAGATTTTACATGTGAAGACCGGCCGCAGCTCCCTCCCGCCCTCTCGCCCGCCCACCTACCCGCACGCCAACCTATCTGTTGCTCTCTGGATGGCATCAGAGCGGAGAGGCAGCTCCCTCCCGCCCCCTGCCAGACACGCCCCCCCCCGCCCGCACGCATGCCCGCCCACCTGTGTTTCTGTTTGTGGCTCCCTGGACGGCAGAGC